CCCGCCTAAGGGACTGAGCTTGGACTGCTACTTGTGTGCTCACTCCCTGCCTAAGGGACTGAGCCCTAAACTGTTATTAGTTTTGTAGCGGGGCGGCCTGGCTCCCAGCCGCCCCTGGAAGGGACGAGCCCCACCCCGGAACGTCTACACCAGGGTTAATCAAAGAATGTGGTGCTTTCATGAATTTTAAACTGGCCTTAAAATTGAAAAGAAATAACTCACAAAAAGGCCAACAGTTAGAAATTCAACTATATAATTAACAAAAACATTAAACAAATCTAAAGGAGAAAGCCTTTTGAATGGTCAGCACTAAGTCCCATACACGATTCTGTTATTCCAAGGTTATGCTGGTATTGGTATTGATTTCAATGAAGTAACCTGCATAGAACTAGAGTTCATGTGGTGAATCAAGACCACAGACTTGAGCCAAATGTTGATCTGACATGAGACAGACAAGGTGGGTGAGGTAATATTTTTTATTAATATCCTGGGACCAACACGGCTACAACTGCACTGCATACAACAATCTGAATTAGGGTCAATAAAAGGGAGGATTCTTAATAAAAACACCATGGATTTGGCAGGCATGTTTTGTATCATATACATTTCTTTAATACTGTGCTCATTTTAAATTATCTACAGTCCCACCATTGATAGTCTTGCATGAGCCCTCTAGAGTTCAATCAACCCAGCTGCAGGATCAGTAAAGAGACAATGGTTACCACACACAGGGTTATTTGGATTAGTGAATACCACACACCATTAAATCATCTGCCAGATGGCATCAGAAGAAAGCTGCAACTCTCACACTTTCATTTCAACAGCAGCAAACAATGTTCTGTTTTTAAAATAAACTCTTCCAGATGAGCAAAAGATAAACTTTGTGGTGCTTTTGCTCAGTCTTCCCTTTTGACTCTAGCTTTAACAAGGGTTCTGATTGGTTACATTAATGTAAAATCCCAATTTAGACCACCATAGAACAAAGCTGTCCCTCTAGGCTGCATCAAAATTCCACGCTCCTTATTGAATGCAGTATTTTCACTCATCAACTTCTGTCAACAGAAGCCTTAAAATTGAACACCTCCCCCGTTAAGCCATTTCCTGTCATTTTATGTGTTTTCCATATCAAACATGTTGCTGTGTTGTTGAAGCAATGACCATTTACACTTTCCCCAATGCTTTAACCCCTTTTAGAAATAATAGATGTCCAAAAGCAAACTTTATTTAAATAAACAAATTCAAACAGCAAAGTAGTTTGATAGGACTTAACCTTTGTCCCAAGTATGCTTAAAGGGACATCACTGTTGCCTTTGTTTTGTGATTACAAAGGATAATACATCATCTCCTACTCTGCTTCTACTGTGCCTGGGCCCCAGGCTTGGTTGGAACCTCAGTGCTACTGGAATACAATTTATTAATAACAACACATGACCATGGATACATGCGATGTTAAGAAAAGTGTTTTGAAGTTGTTCATTTTAGTAAAGTATTATGGCCAAAATTTTCAAAAGTACTCTCTGAATTAGGATGCCTCAAGATTTGGGGAGCACAATTTGAGCCACTTTTGACCTGATTTTCAGAGGGTTTGAGTAGAACAAATTGAAAATGAGGAAAGTGCAAAACATTTTGCAAAAAAGGTCCGTGTTTTTCACTGAAAAACTTTGGAATCCAACATTTTCCTGTCAATTGTAGTTTCGAGCAACTGCAGTTCCTGTTGACTTCAAGTGGCGTTGCAGGTATTCAGCACCTCAGAAAATCAGGCATGGGGCGTCTCAAGTTGAGAACCCAAAAAGAGGCCACCTTTGAAAATGTGGCTGTTAATCTTCAATGTTTGTATTGTAGGCCTTGTCACCCCCATGCATCTCAGCCCAATCAATGGTCCTTATTCGCACAAGAGGTCACTTGGGCTCCCAAAGGACTATAGGATGAGGATTACAGGATTGGGCCCTTCATATGCAGGAATCACTTTACTCACCACTGAACTGCAGTCACCTCTGGCATGAATGGAGGGTAGTAGCCAGCTAGAGAATTGACTCTCGGAGAAACAGCATGGTGGAGAAAATAACATATTGGCAAAGAATAACCAGGGAGTGGACCCTAACTCTTACAGAAAATGCCTTGGAATCTTTCATATCCACACAGTAAAGACTATGGTTTTTAAGGTCTTTTTGGAAAGGTACATACACAATAATCTACCCAAAGCTTAATGTATCTAACAGAGAAGGGGCCAAAAAAGCTGGGGAGGATTGGAACATGCACTTCCAAGCAGTCTAATGACCTGACCCCACAATGCATAGACAATCCTAAGCTCCCACTGACTTCACTTTAAGTCGATGGGAAGTGAAATCCTGGCCCTATTGAAAACTATCATTGATTTCAATAGGGCCAGGATTTCATCCTGGGAGTTTAGGATACTAGGCAGCTGGCAAAGTGTTCAACACCTTACAGAATTGGGCTGTATTTCAAGCCTGATGCTTATGGTGGCAGCATTTCATTTAGTGTTGTTATACCATGCTGATCCCAGGATGTCAGACAGACAAGGTGAATGAGGTAATTTTTATTGGGCCAACTTCTGTAGGTGAGCTCTTCTTCAGCTCTGTGTAGCTCAAAAGCTCGTCTCTTTTGCCAACAGAAGTTGTTCCAATAAATGATATTACCTCAGCATCTTGCAGCACTCATGGCATCCAGGCCAGCCGTCCATGGTCCCCACCCCTCCTAGCTACAGTGAGTCTTCCTCATTTTATCTGCAAATATTTAAGAAGTAAAAAACTTCCAACTTGCAGGAGAGGTTTGTTAACCTTATTAGATGGCTGGTGTGCCAGCTTTTCTGAAGGATGATTAGGAACATGTTCCCTATGCTGTTTAGACCAGTGGTTCTCAAACTTTTTTTTTCGTGGACCACTTGAAAATTGTTGAGGGTCTCAGCGGACCACTTAATGATCTTTCCAAATGTTGTTTGTACCATTAGCTAACTATTGTAAAGTGCTTTGGATAAAAGCGCTCTCTCTCTCTCTCTATATATATATATATAAACTTAATAATTAACTTTTTTTGTTCTACAAATAAAAGCACACAACTCATATTTTAATATCAGTAGTCTTACCTTTCTAATGCGATGGATGTGCCCTTTCTACCCCCCTGCGGCAGCCCCCGGGCCTTGGCTGGGAAGGAGGGGGGGGGGGTGTCTCTCCACCACCACAGCAGCCACAGAGCTGAGCTAGGAAGGAGGGCCATCTCTCCCCGGCAGCCCTGGAGCTGGAGAAAGTCACCTTTCTCTGGACGCCACAGCCCTGCACCTCCCAAATTCCCCCCATGCCCTCTTCTCACCCCACTTTCCCCTCCCACCTACCCAGTATTCCCCCCAAGACTACCACCTCACCTTACATGTGCATCTTTTCCAGGGTCCAGGCACCTAATTAGTGGAGCCGATTAGGTGGGTGGCCCTTCATTCTCTTGTGTGTGGCTGCCCAGGCACACACCTTAGAGGGAACTATGGTCCATGGACCACAGTTTGAGAACCTCTGGTTTAGAACATTTGGAATCAGTTAAATATTCAAATATAAGTGCTCAAATCTGAGTCCAGTCACAACAGGTGCAAGGGCCCTTCTGGTAGCTGAGGGGCTGGGTAAGAAGCCTGTAGGGAGGCAGCTTTTCTGTTATGAGAAATATCAGCTCCACTCTGAGACCCATCAAAAATAATGATTCGGTTGTCTAGGCCTCCTGGATCTTTTTGCCAGCCAAATAACTCCTTCAAGATTAGCTTGGGAAAATGTATATGTAAAGGGGAACAGGCCTTGTATACTAAAATTATTTGAATGACTCTTGCAAGTTATTTTCTTTATGGCCTGAGGTGGAAATAAACCCAATGTATTTAAACTGGGAACTATCCATATCCGCATAATCCCCTCATGCCCTTACCGTACTCTCGCAGGACTCAGGCTTTGAAGCCTGTGATGCTTTCTCATAGTAGGAAGCTTACATGGGCACAATGAGCAACCACAAAAGAATGAAATGGGAGTTAAAATATTTTTTTTTTCATTGCATCATGGAAAAACTGATCATTTATCTCATATTAAGATGGACAATTTGTATTGGAAGTCTCATGCTATGTACAGCTGCCTCATAATCGTTGTAGAGTTTGGGTCTTTTTAGAGTAAGTGTCCCAACGGCCAAAGACTCAGTATTTTCTTCTGTACTCTTTTTTTAAAAAAATATAAAATATTAAATATGTACACAAGCCCTGTTTGCCATGAACAAAGACAGCAAAAAATGACAGCCTTGATTCAGCAAAGTATGCAAACTTATTATTAAGCAAAGTATGCCACTGACTCCCTGTCTGACCTTGGGCAAATCTCTTAGGGAGATTTTCAAACATGCCTGTGCCTAAGGGATTAAGGTGCAGAATTCCCACTTAAGTGCTTTTCAGCATGGCACTTTTCTTTGCAAGCTATGCCCCAGTAGGCATCCATGACTCTCTTCTAACATGCACACAGTGGTTTTGACAGGGGTAGCAATGGAACAGTGGATCACAGATCATAAATTTGAGTTCTATTTACTTTATCTTGAGCTCCTTTTGATGAAACAGTAAAAAACCAAGATATCTTCTGGTCTGTAGGGACTTGAGGGAACCCATCTTGTTTTTTGTCAGAAGAGTTTGTGCCCTGGTGCAACTGGTCAAAACTTTGCCTTACCCTCAGTATTATGCTGCATGGTAGTTGGTTGATGCCTTCCACTCCAGCCAGGGTTGCATTTCAATGCTATTACATATAGTCATTTGGGGATTGTTTTAGATGAAAGACGCAAGATAAACGTAAAATAGGATTTCACAGGTTGAATACCTGTTTATTCTCTAACCATATTTCCATCCTCTCTTTGGGATGGCCCTCTGCATTATTTACAAACAGCATTTTTGTGTCAAACATTCAGAGTGCACAATAATCACACACTTCAGTTCTACTCCTACAGGTTCTGTTGCCTAAAAGTGAGCAATATATGCTGCAATTACAATATAGTGAGAAATATATGCTGTAACTATTGTTACAGGAACTTTAAAAAAAAAATCAATTTTCCCCCTTATGATCTTCTAGATTTCTCTGTCTTCCTCCCAAAAGCATGGAGCTCCTGTTATGCCTCTTTCCTATATCCACAGTACTGCATCTCTGGAAACAGGTGTGGAAGGGATTGAGCACAATACAGTGTGAGAGTTAGAACGTACAGAACAACATGCAGTGAGTATGAGTTAGACATACGCTGTAAATGATCTGAGAATCTCAAATATGGTGTTAACTCAAGTGTTGAGCCAATAAGGATTTATAGTGTGATAGACTAAGCTTCAAACATTTCAATCTTTTATATGTATATATAAATTAATAGTAGTAATCAAGACCCCAAAGCACTACTTTCTTCATATTCATTAAATTTACTTTTACCTTAAACTGGTGCTGTTAAATAAAATTACTAAAGAGAGATAAGCAAATCATAATTAACCAGAAACAGTTACTGAAGTTATATATTTATTTTAAAACAATAAGGGAGGCATCTTTATGTAATATCCCTGTATTTATTTTTGGCCTATTTTAATTCCATTATCTCTACATAGTAGACACTCTCTAAGCCTATGTAGGATAGTTGCCAAGGCTACTTTTGTCAAGTTTGTGTAATAGTTTCTTGATCATATTTGTACCGTGTAAGCATTAGTGAGGTTAAGGAAATATGCACTTACACAGACGATGACTTATCAGGAAGAATTGTGGGCCATATTAGACTGAACCTTATGCACATTTCACTATGAAAGACAGTATGAGAAAAATCTATAAATAGACAATTCACAAAACAAACCACATGATCAGATCTTGGGCTCTGACACACCCTCCAGTCACATAAAGACCTACTGAAGTCAATGGTGGGGCATCCATCAGCCCAAGGCTTAGTGCAGGATAGCGGCCTTGGTTCATATCGCCAGAAGAGCAGGTTTGGCCCAAATAAAATAGAGCCTGCTGTACAATCAAACATATATACTAGATTAATGGCAGTGACAGATGCTAATTTATGGAAGGCCATCTTGAAAATATCTGACTTGTGACCCACAGGTGAGTTATAATATGGCTTGATATAGTTCCTGTTCAGGCAGCCAGTGATATGCAGTTGTGGGAAAGAGTTTTTGTGCTATGAAACAGTATTCGGAGGCCTAGATGATCATAGCGGAAGAGTGTTCACAACTCACTGGTAAAATCTTTCACATGATTTTAGCTTGGATTGCTCACCAACCCAACACTGTTATTGGTATTAGGATGGATTCACAAACCATCTACAAGAAAAAGCAAACAGCCACACATTTCACGTACAATGCAATACAGTGCAATGTCTGAGATCAAATAGTGGAAGACAACAAAGAAGCATATACATTACATAGCAAATAACTTTTTATTTGCTGAACAAGTAGCTTTCAGAAGAGATTTAATGCTGAAATATATTCAAACACCCAGGCTGTTAGACTCTAGTTCTGTATTTTTTCAAAATATGGATTTATTTAAAATAGAGAATATTCTCTATTTTAAAAGAGCTGTACAAATTACTCCTAGTAGCTTTGAAATCTATGAACAAAGTAATTTGTGTTTCACACCATTCAAGGGGGAAATACCATTGCAGAAAGCTTCAGGGTAGCAAAATATTAGTTATCTTCATTCCTTTCAGTAGGTCTTTTTTCCTAGCATTTATTTTAATAATCCAACCATCACTTCACTGATATCCCAAAGTTTTCTTGCAACTAAATCATCCATGGCTTTAGGTAGCAATTCCTCCTCTTTGCAATCCCCAAAATACTTGCCTGACACACCCTCTACTTCTGCAGAGGAGGCCAAATAAATAGAAGTCTGGGCTCCTTCCAATGGGGTTTTGAAGAAAGCCCATGACACCAAATTGAAGAGGGGTTTTGCCAGCAAAGGAATATTTATGTATCTGCCTAGATTGGTTCGGACAATACCGGGATGAAGCACGTTGACAGTGACTTCTGTGCCTTCCAATCGGTGGGCTAGCTCCCTGGTGAATAGTATGTTAGCCAGTTTACTGCGACTGTAGCCAAAACTTTTATTGTAACTTATCTCACTGTTCAAGTCTTCAAAGTTGATCTCTCCATATTTGTAAAGTTTGGAAGAAACTACCACAATCCTGCTTGGGGCAGAACTTTTGAGGAGGCCAAGGAGGAGGTTAGTGAGCAAGAAATGACCCAAGTGGTTGACACCAAACTGCATCTCGAAACCATCCTCTGTCTTCATGTATGGACACTGGAATATCCCCGCATTATTGATCAGAACATCCAGTCTCGGCTCTTCCTTAAAATAGCAAAAATAATCAGATTTATAAACACAGCAATCTGTTATTAAGATTAATTGTATTCATTGACCTTTATTAGGAAAAAACATTCAACTGCTCATCCTCTAAAATGGGATTTTCTAGGTCATGGTTATTTTAAAGTAATCTTCGAAAAAATAAGTGTATTGGTAGTTGTCAGTAAGAGGAGTATCAAATCACATGGGTTGTGGGTGGGGGGGGCTGTGTTACTCTGAATATAGCTAAAATATAAACATTTTTCAAGAATAGCATTTTTTAATTGAAATCCACTGAAATTATTCTGTAATACCAATTTCTTTCCAAAGAATTATCAGGATGTGACATTAAAGAAAAGCTGATAAGTGTACTACTGGTTAGTATTAATATTGTGGCAGCACCCAGAAGCCCCGGTCATAGAGCCTATTGTGCTAGGCACTGTACAAACAAAGAACAAAAAGATAATCTAGCTCTTTGAGGCAGGGATTTAGGGTTAAATATAAATAATAAATAAATTAATGGAGATATCTCCTAGAACTGGAAGGGACCTTGAAAGGTCATCAAGTCCAGCCCCCTGCCTTCACAAGCAGGACCAAGTACTGATTTTTGCCCCAGATCCCCAAGTGGCCCCCTCAAGGATTGAACTCACAACCCTGGGTTTAGCAGGCCAATGCTCAAACCACTGAGCTATCCCTCCCCCTCAGTTAAAGAGACACTGCCAACAAATTTTAAACCCATCATTTGATTAGGGAAAAATAATTAGATTTATGATGAATTTTGAAAACACTGCTATTAATAATTTCAAACAATGGTACCTAGTTTAAAATTTGCCTGAACTGTGGTGGACCAAGATACTATGTTGTGCCAATGCACAAGAACCAGAAAGTAAAACTGGTAACAGAAAAATGAAATCTAAGGCCCCAATACTTATGTTCCAAATCCTGCATAGTCTGTGCACCCAGAACTCTGAGAGGGAAAGATCTTAGGAGTTTCAAAGTGTGGTTCCACTCTGAAAATGACTTCACACAAGTGTCATTATAAGGTCCCATGTTTCAATCTGAATGCTCAGTTTACAAGAATCTGCCCCCCCCCACACACACACACACACTTTTCTTGCCAGTCCTGCAAATTTAACATAGGCTCTGGAAGTCAAGCTGAGTTCTTTCTGGCTCCTTACCACCAGTAAAAAATTTTCTTCAGGCCAGATTCTATCCTCATTTACACCTTTGAAATTTAATAGTCCACACATTTTGCCATCAGTGGCACAAGTATAACTTAGAGCAGAATCTGAGCCTGCATTTGGAATTTAGTTAATAATTAAATCAAGCTGGGGCTTGATCCTGCAAGATGCTAAGTTCCCTTAACTCCTACTGATATCAATGGGAGTTGAGGATGCTCAACATCTCACAGGATTGGGTCCTTCATGCATGAGTCGGAAAGAATTCACATCTCCCCCATAGCTGCATAGTACTGAAAGATGTAACAATTTATCACTGAAGCCAGCATATTACTCTGAATACACAATGCAGTTGGTCTTTGTGCAGTGAGGCTAAAAAAGTGAAAAATGAAAATTCAGGTATCTAAACACCCACAATGAAAGCCAGGCTGTGGGAGTGCCAGCTATGTCTCATCTTATCAATCTAGGAACCTCCTTTATCTTACAGACAACTTCAGAAAGGAGTCACAAGTTCAGAAAAGGAGGGGAATAACATAAGTGTGTATGTACTACAGCCCTATGGAAGTGTTTCTAGAACTAGTCATCTCAATCATTTTGTTTTCTCCATCATTTACGCCATGGTGAGGGTATTCTAAAACAGCAGATACCACTAGAAATAAACCCAATAGCGGCACTACCTTCCCAGGCTGTCTCCAGCTCACTCCCGGGTATGTCACCCCACACACTTCATCTCATGCCTCGCTATTTTGTTCTCAATTTTGCTTGTGAAAAGACAACACTTTAATTGGTTTTGCCAATAGGGAGACTGCCAGCTTTAAAAAAAAAAAAAATCACTGTTTTTTAAATGTATCACTAACACCTATGAGGCACTACACCAGATTAGAAAAAAGGATATATTGTTTTCCCTGTGTTTACTTTGTGCATTTCACAGCACTTTGTGTATAGTCACATTCAGTTTCCCCTGTAAAGTCAAACAAGCCCAGATCCTGCAACTGGATCTACGCAGGTGGCACTAAATGGCTTCCCATTGAAGTCAGTGGAGTTTTACATGGGCACAACTGTCCGTCCATGACAAACCAATTACAGAATTAGGGCTTTAGTCAATTTCCCCTGTTGTTTCTGTGGGTCTTTTCTGTTAGTGTTTTTGTTCTGTTTAAAGGAGAAGGAAAATGCACACACATATAATGTCCTAAAATAGGTGTGAATCTCAACACTTATCTTCCTTCTTTCCACTCCCCTTACAATTTTCTTATCTGCAAAGATTGGAGAGGTCCAACAGACTACGAGAGACCCACAGCTGTAGCCCTTTTTACCACACATCTTCATTATTCCAGATATTTCTTTTTCAGTTAAACTCATGGTTTCTGACACCTTTGTTTAAGTGTGTCATTCAGTTACCCAAATGTGTGGGGATCCTACAGATTTTCAAGAAACATTTAGCTTTTTCTCTAAAATATATCCCTTCCTGCCTTGATTTCTTCAAGGGCCTCTTGGATCAGTGTTCGGACCCAAAGAGTGCAACAGTATTCCTGTCTAGACACAATGGTGATAGACATCTTTAAAATACCCTGGAAAAATAAACTAGATATTTAAGGGACTGTTATAAATTAGAACACAGTGAAATGTGCACAAAAATATTCCAAGTTATGAGATACCTGTCTAGCTTTTCATTTAAAACCCAGAGAAAGTGCCTCAACCAGTGCCCCTACAGTCTAGAAAACGCAGACTGAATAGTGGATTTTTGCATCAAGATTATTCACAGTTTTAGTTAGAACCAGGAGAAATTTGGTAGTTTTGACTGGATTTTGCTTATTGTTCCTCAGTTCAGGAAGTGGGAACCCACACAATCCAAGACAGAAGAAAGTGTTAACACAAATCCTGTGAAGTGAATCTGGCATGTCACATTAGAAACTCATGTTTAGCTCTCAACTTTATTTAATCCAAGACTATTCACTTTTTGTTCCTATTAAGAGTATCAACAAAAGAAAGCTATTAGCTGCCTTTTTCTCCAGCATCTGAGAAACTTTCCCCCTTTCCCAAGATGAGATAGTAAAATCCTAAAAGATGACAACTGGGTCCTGACTCAGTCCCTCATTTCTTCTTTACATATATGTCAAACCTTACTTCCAAGTGCATGGACCTGCCCTGTGAATTGCATTCAGAGATCTAGCATCTGAAAAACACTCAATCCAATCTGTTTGAAAGATACAATTTCTTCATCATACCTCCCAATCACTACATTATCTGAGTGTCTGCCAAATATTTCAAATCAGACACCAGTCTCCTGGCAAATTATGTTAAAGGCCCAAAAGGGTGAAGAGAAAGTCTATTAATCACGTTATTATTAATGTGAAGTTATGCTGAAACATCAAGTGTTACGATGATGACATTTCATGGGTTAAGAAAATTATATCAAGAAAATATTTACCCCAGAGTTATACAGGGTGGCAGTTCCAGCATTAGCTCATTTTCTACCACTATGTAGTTTTCCACAGCAAACACCCTTTCCTCTATTTTGGGATATCCCTAAACAGTGTAAATTGTATCCATGAGATGCCCAGTGAAACCATTTGTTGGCTTGCTCATGCCCTTCTACAAAATCTCTTAGGAAAGCCTGTAGGACCCTAGTGAGCACCTCACAAAGTAGGCTTGCGGGATCCAGGATAGGTCTGACAAAGTCAGAATGATTATGGACATACAGTATACCCTCGATATAACAAACCCCACAGGATCCAAGTCATTTGTTCATTATAGCAAGGGGGTGATTACACAAAAAGAGACCCATGACAGAGAGGGGAGGAGGAGCGGGGAAGACAGCTCCTCCAGCCCCACAATTGACAGCCCCCGACAAAGCCCCATGGATGGAGGTGGGAGCCAGGGACTGAGTTCATTATATCCAAAGATTCGGTATTATGAAGGGCATTAGAGACAGGGTGTACTGTAATAGAAACATGATAAATGTATATTGGATTCAGATGACCCCATGAAGTGCTCTCTCACTGCAGCCTATCCTCTGTGCTGTAGGTAGAAGGGGGCTCAAACTTAAGCCAATTCACAGTCACAAGTTCCCAGATGCCTTGCAGAATAAACTGCAGCAGATTGCAGCTGCCCTAGTTTTTTCTTTGCCCCCAGAGATAACAGGTCACCCCTTGCCTGCTGCATCTTGATATAAGCTTGTGAAGGTGATTTCTGGCTGCACTGTATAACTCCATGGGCCCAGTTCTTCTTACCGGTCAACACAGCTAGTGGAACAGGAAAATTTCCCTAGGAAAGGAACTTTGGCCTAATAAGGCGTTGTTCCCTGGGTTAAAAATCAATAAATAAGAATGCACCAAAACATTACATCATATCCCAAAATATTTTGGGATTATTTTTAATTCCCTATAAGATGCAAGAATAGCTCTGACAAAAGCTGCTAATATTCCCTCAATTTCAGCATTGAAGAACCCCAAGTCACCAAAGGGGTAATTTGAAGACTTTGTAGCCCTTGCTGGATAAGGGAGTGAGAGACAGGAATGTTCCTGAGTTGCAAACCTGCACAAGGGCTGCTAATTAGACACGCAGAATGATTTGTTGACAAACTCCAGTCCTCTACAAAGGATAGGATGGTGCCAACGCAATGTCTGGATGCTGCTTCCCTTCATGCCCACACATCAGCAGGGCCCATCTCTCCTCTCCATGCCAATCCCCCCCATAGCCTTATCCCAAGCCCTCCATCCTCCACTTATCAGTATCTCTCCATCCTCAGCCCCCTCAAACTAACCATCCCCCTAAAAACTTTTCCTCCTTCTTGACCCCTTTGTCAGATGTATCATAGGGCACACCAGCCTGTCCTTCTGCAAAGGTTCCCCTGCATCCAGCTGTTCACCCATCCCATCCCCAGCTAGCTGGGTGTCCTCCGGATCCCCAACACCCCCTCTTCCTCCCCAGCCAAGCTCTCTGCCCTTGGATCAACTCATTCCCCCATATGCCATCTCCCGTATTACCTTCACCAAGGCCCTGTAACCCCCATACCAGTTTTCCCCTCTCCTCACCCCAGCCCTCCCCATCCTTCTCCCCCTTATTTCTTCTCTCCCCCATCCCTCCCAACCTATCCCATCCCTTCCCCCCACCTTCCTCCACCCTCACCCCCCAGCTTACC